AAAGTGGGCAGACTTCGTAAGGCGATCCACAATCACCCAAATAGAATCATGCCCGGCCCTCGACCTCGGCAATCCCACTAAGAAATCCATAGTTATGCACTCCCACTTCCACAAGGGAACCTCAAGTGGTTGTAACTTCCCTCTAGGTTTCTGATGCTCAGCTTTCACTTGCTGACACACCAGGCACCCATTTACGAACCTCGCCACTTACCTCTTTATACCTCGCCACCAAAACGACTTCCTCAAGTCCTGATACATCTTCGAGCTACCAAGATGGATGGTGTACGGGGCACTATGGGCCTCTCTCAAAATCTCCTTTCGCAGTTCCCACACCTTCGGAACACATAATCTACCCTCGAAGACTAATGCTCCATCAGATGCAACTGCAAAGCCTCCAATCCGACCGCTAATCGACAACTCTCTCATCCGGTACAGAAAACGATCATTCGGCTGCTCAGTGGCTATCCTCTCTCGAAGAGTCGGTCCCACAACCAAAGAGGTCAACATACCCCCAGCTGTCGGAGTCGGCTTCAATGCCTCTAGCTGTAGCCGCTCGAACTCCCGAAGAAGGACATCTTGCTCAGTAAAGAGACAGGACAACTTGCCATAACTCCTCCGACTAAGGGCATCGGCTACCACGTTAGCTTTCCCCGGATGGTAGCTAATCATGCAATCGTAGTCCTTGACCAGTTCCAACCACCTACGCTGCCGCATATTTAGCTCCTTCTGAGTGAAGATGTACTTTAGGCTCTTGTGGTCGGTAAATATCTCACACTTGCCTCCATAAAGGTAGTGTTTCCAAATTTTCAAGGCGTGAACAACTGCAGCTAACTCGAGATCATGAGTGGGGTAGTTCTGCTCGTGAGTCTTCAGCTGCCTCGAAGCATAGGCTACAACCCTCCCCTGCTGCATAAGAACACATCCCAAACCCAACTTCGAAGCATCACTGTAGATGGTGAACTCCAAAGTAGGTTCGGGAATGGATAGAACGGGCGCGGTAGTGAGTCTCCTCTTCAACTCCTGGAAACTCTCCTCACACCTAGGACTCCAATCGAACTTCACGGCCTTCTTTGTAAGGTTGGTTAGTGGCTGGGCTATCTTCGAGAAACCCTCGATAAACCTCCGGTAGTATCCTGCTAACCCCAAGAAACTACGAACATCAGCGGCACTTCTTGGTGTATCCCACTTGCTCACTGCCTCAATCTTGCCGGGATCCACCTCAATGCCTCGGGCTGTCACAATGTGGCCAAGGAATGCCACACGTGTTAGTGTTATATACTTAAGCTTTGCTTTAGTGGATATTACACTTGTTATTTCTT